CCTCATTTGTGACTCCATTGACAAATACTGAGGGTAGGTAGAACGTTCTGTAAAAAGTTTGGGAGCTGCGGTGGCTCAAGTGGTTAAGACACTGAACTGTTGGAAGGTCGGTAGTTCAGCAGTTCAAGACCTGAGTGTGCTGCATGATGGAGTGAGCTCCCATCTCTAGTTCCAGCTCCTGACAACCTAGCAGTTCAAAAGCAAGAAATTGCAAGTAGATAAATAGGTACCGCTTCAGTGGGAAGGGAACAGCGTTCTGTGCGCCTTGGTGTTTAGTCATGCCGGCCACATGACCACGGAAACGTCTTCGGACAGCGCTGGCTCTTCGGCTTGGAAACGGAGATGAGCACCGCAACTGGCTTTCGAGCAAGGGAGACCTTTACCTTTACCTAAAAAGTTTGGGAACGCCTGGATCCTGACATTCCCTTGTCCTAGGTGTAAACAGTGAACCGGTGGCCCATCTAGTCCAGCATCCTGTCTCACTCAGTGGCCAACCGGTTCCTCTGAACAGCCAGCAACAGGGCATGGAGGCCAAGGCCTTCCCCAATGCTGCTTCCTGGCTCTGGGATTCAGAAGAAAAAGAGATTGGATTTATATCCTGCCCTTCACTTGGAGTCTCAGAGTGGCTTACAATCTCCTTCCCTTCCTTTCCCCACAACAGACACTCGTCTGTATTGACAAAAAGTATAGTGTCCGGATCATGTGAAGTGATGGTATTGCTTTACTCTACTCCAGCTAGACTTCACCTAGAGTACTGTGTTCAGTTATGGGCACCACAATTTACAAAGGATATAGACAATCTGGAATGTGTCCAGAGCAATGTTCCCTCTAAGCTTGTGAGCAAAAATTCTACTCTGTGAGCTACTGGCATTAAAGTTGTGAGCGAGCAATTTGGCTGCTGCATAAATTAGTTTGCTCTGGAGCCATCTTTCCTGAGCTAAGACAGAAATGTGTGAGCCAGAGGCTAAAAAACTGTGAGCTAGCTCACACTAACTCAGCTTAGAGGGAATACTGGTCCAGAGGAGGGCAGTGAAAATGTTGATGGGTCTGGAGACCAAGTCCTAGGAGGAAAGGTTGAAGGAGATGGGTATAAGTAATGTTTAGCCTGGAGAGGAGACAACCGAGAGGTTATATGATCACCATCTTCAAGTACTGGAAGGGCTGTCATTATAGAGGATGGTGTGGAGTTGTTTTCTGTTGCCCCAGAAGGTCAGACCAGAACCAACAGGTTGAAATTGAATCAGAAGAGTTTTTGGCTAAACTTTAGGAAGAACTTCCTGACAGAGCAGTTCCTCAGTGGAACAGGCTTCCTCGGGAGGTGGTGGTGGGCTCCCCTTCTTTGGAGGTTTTCAGACAGAGGCTAGATGGCCCCATCTGACAGCGATGTGGATTATGTGAATTTAGGCAGATCACGAAAAGGGAGGGCAGGGAGGGTTGCCTCAGTGCTTAGTTCTCGTGGCCCTTTCTTACACGCCCAGGGAAATGCCAATCACCACTTTGGGGTCAGGAAGCAATTCTTCTCCTGGCCACTTTGGCCGGGGACCCTGGAGGTTTTTTGCCATCAGCTGTGCTGCCATTTCTGGGGGGGTGCGGCAGCTGATGTAGCATTTCTTGTTATGCTGGGATGTTAACAGTTCACTTTTCCTGGCTTAGTCTTATCTCATAGCCTGAGCGTCTGACCTTGGTACCTTTCTCCTGATGCTTCGCTGGGGATGTGAACCCGTTGGTTTAGGTGAGCTGTAGCTAATTTCCTGATTGGCTCGACCTCGTCAGGGGACCCCACTTTGAATGCCGTATATCTATTTCCCTCCCGCCTTTACAATTAGTTCTGACACTGAATGTATGCACAGATGTACTCAATAAACTTGAACCGAAGGAACGTTGTTGAGAACTGATTGCTGCAAGGCTCTGACAGCATGGAGCAGGGGGGTCACTGGGGCTGCAGATGGGAGCTAGTTGTGAATTTCTGGCATTGTGCAGGGAATTGGACTAGATGGCCCTGGAGGTCCCTTCCCACTCTGTGAGTCTGTAAAGTTCCTACTGTAGCCTCTGTGTGGCCGCATCCTGAGCCTTGCAATCCGTTTGGTCTTTTGGAGAAAAGAAACACTCTTGTGGTTTTCACATGTCACCGTACATAGAAGGTAGGTAGTGGCATACACTGCGGCCCTGTCCCTTCCATAAGAATGCCCTGCTTAACAATCCTGCTCTGCAGTTTCTGTTGTGGTGGGTGGTGGTGGCTCTCGTGGCCTTCTCAGGCAGGCCACCCATGAGAAGGCACACAAGCAGGCAGTTGCCGACCTTACCCATTTGAAAGGTGGCACCTTCGGAACAGGCCTTTTATGGAACAACCAGTACCTTGAATTGGATCCCGTAACTAGAACGGGTGTCATATTATATTGACAAATGGGATCCCAACTGGCGTGAGCCACTGCAGATTCTTGTAACGTGATTCTGAAATGGACATTGAAGGTGTTTTGTATACATCACAATTATTTCAATCATCAGATGATGTCTTTAGTACAATTTTGAGACATACAGTGGACATGCACAGTGTATCTTTCATGTCAAAAGTCAATTTGTAAGTTTTAACTCTGGATCGGACTTGCTCTGGGCCTGTAATTCCAAGGGTGTGAAACAGTGCTTTGCCAACATGTTTTCCCCACAGAAATGAGAGTGGAAATTACTGTGGTGGTTCGTATATCTACCTTGGGAATATCTACTACTAAGGGTAACCCTGCTTAGCTCCCTTTCTTCACTTTAATCACACGGTTGCATTCCAAGGAGGACAGTCATATTCATTACGGGTTTCCTTTGGGCAGGGACACAAGGAGGTGCTCTATATATGCATTTGGGAAACTTTTTGGTGTGGACTGTGATTGCTGGCTTTGCAGTTTTCTTCAGAGGCAGTGGATGTGGAATGGCTCTGAATTTTTGCCGTGCTCTTTAAGGGCTTCCCTGTTAAAAATTCTTTCTTTGGGTTGTTTTCCTGTAAGATTCCTATTACGGCCACATGTAGTCATCCCTGAATAGTGTCTTTTATTATCTCAGCATATTCTGTGACGAAGCCTGAAATTCAGATCTTTATTCTGAACGATTCTGAAGCAATTTTCAATGTCATAATCGTTCCCTCTGCCACTGTTGGGCCTGGAACAGAGTCCCCATCAGTTGTGGCAATGTCCAAATGCCCTTGAACAAAAGCTGCTTCAGTACAGCTCTGTGGTAGATGCACTATTTATTAACTCACTTTCTTCAGCTGAGCATGGCTTGCTGCTCAGAAACCACAGGTTCCCTTTCACTGTGATGTTCATGTTCTCTATAATTACTAGGGAACGTTACCACAATGTGTGGATCCACAAAACCACTTGTATCAACGTCTTGAGCTGCTACTTGTACTCCATATTATTCCCAGTTCCTTTATGCTTGGTACATACAGGTGGGTAGCCGTGCTGCTCTGAAGCAACAGAACACAGTTTGAGTCCAGTGGGGGCACCTTTAAGGACCAACCAAGTTTAATTCTGACTGGCTGTAAGCTTTGCATGGGCATGCACCTGGAAGCTTACAATTAAACTTCGCTGGTCTTACAGGTGCCCCTGGACTCCAGCTGTGTTCCTTGGTGAACCCCTCACACAGAGCCTGTGTCGCAGAGCAGGTGTCCACCTCAAAGACCCGGTGTGCTCCAAGGCTGGTGTTGAGGGCTGATGCGCCTGCGTTGTTCTTGCCTCGGTGCTCTCAAACCCTACCCGCCTGCACCCCAGCCCCTCGTGTGGATCCAAAGCGGCGCTCTTTCCTTCTCGGGAACGCATGCCTGGAAAGGGGAACCTGGTTGCTGGGGTGTGTGTGTGTGCGTCCTCTAACCACTTGCACTCCCCTTGTGGCGTTCAGCATTTTGGCAGTGTGGGTGGGAGAAGCAGACAGCGGCGCCTCAGTGCGTGCTGGTTGGCTGCTTCCACCTGCCTGTCAGGGCACATGAGGGGGACACACCATCCCATAATAGACAGGTTGCACCTCTGTGGCGTCTTTTTGGCTTGCTTCACCTCAGCCAAGGATACCTACCAGCATTTCCAGCCGGGACTGCACGTGTTTCATTGGAAAGACCCCTTGTTGGTAAACATGTGGCTGGAACGCCGTCAGCGACATCCCTGCAGGCGATTAAAGTGTTTGCTGGCAGTGGGGGTGGGATGGGACCCACAACAGGAGCCGCCAGCCGAAAGTATCCCTGGAGGGTAAACTGTGACGGGCCTCTTCCTGGGCATGCTGACTCGGCTTCCTGACATGCCTGCCTTCTGCGCGCACCACCCCTGCCCCCAGACTCCGCTTTCACTGACAGAAGAGGAGCCGCTAGAAGCAGCAGCTGCCAGCATCTGTCAGACCGAACAGGCCTTGGCCCCTGCAGGCAGGACACAAAGAACGTCGACTGCTCCACACCCCTTTGAACAATTCAGAGAAGAGAATCCTGTTCCCTGGGCTAGGCCAGGCTGAGGGCTGCAGCCAACCCTCCCGCTCCGCACCGCCCCCTCTGCTCGCTCTCGCTCTCTGCCGCCCCCCCCCCCCAGCCCTCGTTTCTTGTCACAAGACCCTGACCCGGGTGGTCTCATCCCAGCTCAGCAGGGCCGGCCCAGGTCAGCCCTTGGGATGGCTGAGGGGGGACATGACTGAGGTTTATAAGAGTATGCATGGGGTAGAGCGGGTAGAGAAAGAGGTACTTTTCTCCCTTTCTCACAGTCCAAGAACTCCTTGTGGGCACTCCATGAAATTGCTGAGCGGTCGGGTTAGAATGGATAAAAGGAAGTACCGAAGAGAGATTAACACGTGGAATTCACTGCCACAGGAGGCTACAAGCATGGACAGCTTCAAGAAGGAATTAGATAAGCATATGGAGTAGAGGTCCACCAGTGGCTATGAGCCACAAGGTACAGATACGGACTCTCGGTCTGGGGCAAGGGATGCTCTGTCTTCTTGGTGCTTGGGGGGGGGCAACAGTGGGGGGCGCTTCTGGAGTTCTGGCCCCACTGCTGGACCTCCTGAGGGCCCCTGGTATTTCTGGCCACTGTGTGACTCAGGAGTGTTGGACTGGATGGGCCACTGGCCTGATCCAACATTGGCGTCTCTCTTCTGTTCTTAAGGAAACTCCAGGGCTGCTACGCAGAGGCAGGCAGTGGGAAGCCACGTCTGAGAGCCAGTTTGGTGTTGTGGTCAGGAGCACAGACTCTAATCTGGGAGAACCGGGTTTGATTCCCCACTCCTCCTCCACATGCAGTGGCTGGGACCTTGGGTCAGTCACAAGTTCTCTCAAGGGCAGTCCTCGAAAGAGCTTTCTTAGCCCCCCCTCCCTCACGTGTCTGTCTGTTGTGGGGGGAGAGAGGAAGGGAAGGAGACTGTCGGCCACTCTGAGACTCCTTCGGGTAGTGAAGGGCCGTGGGGGATAAACCCAATCTCTTCTTCTCCCCTGAAAGTCTCTTGCCTCAAAAACCCCATGTGTGTGTGGGGGGTCACCATACGTCGCCTGTCATTTGACGGCGCTCTCCACCACCGGCTTACAGCCACACCCGCAGAAAAGTCAGAAAGTGTGTATTTCCCCAAATTTATTCTGAAACCGAAATGAGACTTTGGTGGCGGCAGAGAAGTGAGGTTTTTCATGGCAGAAGTGTGGGAAGGAACGGGGAGACCTGTGCCCAAGACCCTCCGGCCGGGGCGCATCAGGGACAGGGTCCCACCGTGGACCAGACTCCAAGGAGAAGGCACGCGTTCACTTTCCCTCCCGGAGAAGGCGGAGCAGCAGCAGCAGCAGCAGAGCCATTCCAACGGGACACGCCGCCTCGGAAGGGCGTGGGGGCCCTCACTGGAGCTGTGCCAGAGGAAGGGGGAAGGAAGGAGAGCCCGGCGTCAAGCCCAGCTTCTCCCAGGCCCCCGCCCACCCGCTAGGCGGAGGACTGGCATCAGCCCATCCTGTGGCCGTGGGCGAGCGAGGCACGCTGAGGGGCTGAGGGGAGGTACCCCCCCCCCAGGACCTAGTGCACACCAGCTGCTACTCACTTCCCAAGGCACTGTGGGGCGGGGGTGGGGGTGCTGTCGTCCGAGCACAGTCCTTCCTGCCTCCCTCCCTGCCTCCCTCCATTCAGGGGTCCAGGGCTCTGCACAGGCAGGGCAGTCCGGGCAGTTTCCAGCGGCGGCCCCCGTGCAGCCGCAGCGCCAGCCACTCCTGCTGGGGGGGGCTGAGGTAGGTCTCGGGGCTGCAGCCGCCCCCTTGCCCGCGGCCGAGCAGGTCCCCCGCCGGGCCCCCCCCAGCGGCCCCAGCCGGGGCAGGCAGCCCTTCCAGGCTCTCCAAGCTGTTGAGGCTGCCGGGGCCACTGGCCTGCGTGTGGATGCCGTTGTAGGAACCTGGGGGAGACGGGAGGCAAGAGGATGAGCGGGCTCTTCGCCCAGGTGCAGGTGCTGAGCAGGCACACAGGACGGGCAAGGATGCTGCTGCTGCTGCTGCACCCCCTGTGGGGCAGAGGCCCTTCTTCCTCGTCTCCCTCTGCAGTCTCTCTCTCTCTCTCACCCCACCCCCAGGACTGAGCCTCCAGGGCAATCCAGACCCTCCCCCTTCCGCTCCCGCCTGCATGGTCCACGACTCCACTGGCACCTCCCTCCTGCAGGGGGAGCAAGACCTTCCCCATCCTCTCTGGCTCCGCCCATTCTCTCACCTAGCAAGGTTGCAACTATGCCTAGACCAGAAGGGGGGGAGGGCTCCTGGCGACCTCCACACCCAGCCACACTCTTCAGGGGGCGTGCAACTCCTGAGCGAGGCGGCCCCTTCCCCTGCTCTCTGGCAGGCTCCCCGGGGACTGAGCCTACCCCGGCCACATACTGCCCAACCACGTGGTGGCACTCACAGCACTGGCGGAGGGCTTCCCAGGTCGGGCACGGCAGGGAGGCCTTACTGGGCTGCTGCAGGAGGCAGGCGATGGCGTTGTCCGCCTGATGAAAGACGCGGAGGGAGAGCACCCGCTGCCTGCTCTCCGGGGGGAGCCCGGACTCTTCGGACTGGAGCAGCTCCCGGACCAGCTCAAAGTCCTGCTTCAGCTGGAGGGCCCCCTGCAGGCTGGACGGGACGGGAGGAAGGAGGCCGGGAGGAAGGAGGCCGTTCTGTCCAGCACCATCCCACCCTGGCCGGACAGGCCTCCTCCTCCTCCTCTCCCCCCC